GCCTCTGAATCTGAGCTGGAAGGATCTATAGAACTTGTATCCAACTTTCTTGTTGTATTAGTCTGTTTTCTATTGCTATAACAAAACACCTGAAGCTGGGTACTTAGCAAGTAAAGAGGTTTATTTAGTTTACAGTATTGGAGGCTGAAAACCCAAGATTGGGTATCCGTCTGCACAACCTCTGATGAAGGATCTGTTGGATTGCATTACAACATAGCAGGTAACATCGTGGAGGGAGCACATGTGAGAGAGATTGCATGGAGAGACAGGAAGCCAGAGAATCGGGAAGGGCCAAGCTTGCTCTTTTTATAAGAATCTACTCTCTTGGAACTAACCAGGGTCTCACAAGAGCTACATTATTTCCTTGCAAGGATTAGTGCCCTCAATAGCCTAACCAGTTTCACCAGGCCACACCTCAAAAGTTCCGTGATCTCTTAGTACTGTGACACTGGGGCCAAGCCTCTCCCATGTGAACTTTTGGGGCATAAATTCAAATAATATCCAAACCTTAGCACATATTGAACTGGAGGGGAAATGGAGACTCCAGAACACAGTTTTATTAGTAGCTGAGCCACAGTTAAAACTCACTGTTCCTTGTTCTAGAGTCATTGCTTTTGATCTGCTCAAATACTGAATTTTGAGCTATTTCAATCTCCAAAGGCTATTTCGGTTTCTTAGAATTCATATTCATTATTGTTCTAGAAAGCCAAATTTCCTAGTTCCGAGAAAGTCTAATGGAAGTTCCCAAGAAACTGAAGCACTGTACCTCTTTTTTCCTAATACTTTGGTGATTTAAATGTCAGTGTATCAGAAATTTATAAAGGAAACTTTCCTTGAAAGATAATGTGAGCTCTTGGGCTATGAAAGGGCCTCGGGGAAGATTCCTAGCAAGAAAGAAGCAAGATGGTATTTCATACGAGGCTGAGACCTTGGCACAAGTCTTTATTGATTTTTCCATGATGTTCAGTGGCAAATGGAATTAGATTTTTCAAGGATAAAAGAAGGGGGAAACTAGAATTTCAGACTTCCCAAAGACTCAGAAGTGTTCAGGCACAGTGAGGCCAGAAGACATCAAAAAAGGAGAAGCTTACGTTGTTCTGTGGGTGGCTGACTTCTGAGTTGCTTTAAAGTGTGTCAAATGTTTTATGCATCCCCAATGCACTGTGGTGAGCTCCAGCCAAGCTCTTAATTAAAGTCCAGAGGTGGGACTGAGGGTGGAGCTTGGGAGGAGGGAGAGATGTTAGTTAGCAGGTGTCACTTAACAGCAGGGATAAGTTCTAAGAGATGCTTCCTCAGGCATTTCATTATCGGGTGAACACCATAGAGTGTGTAGGTCACTCTCGGGATCTCTTATACGATCAAGAAATGATAGGCAAACCCAGATGCATAAGACTGTTCCCAAGAAAACCCAGCATACGGTTCACAGTCAATTTTTCTTATAAGTACAAGGAGTACCTTCTAAAATAACAAGACAGAGTATAGTGTACATACATGAAATCAGTAACACAGCATTTACTATCATTATCAAATATTCTGTACTGGGCACAATTGCATGTTCTGCACTTTTATGTGGCTGGATGTGAAGTAGGTTTTGTTTACACTGGTATTGTCGCCTGAGTACTGTACTGCATTATGACATCATGACAGCTATCATGTCACTAAGCAACAGGAATTTTTGAGTTCTATTATAATCTTCAAAGACCACTATTGTGTATGCAGCCTGTTCTCGACTGGCATCTTGTACTGTGGCACGTGGCCGCCTACAACTCTGACACCTCTTGATTATCCCTCTGCCCCACCAGGTGGGCCTGTCAGGGCAGCAGACAGGAGAATCTGCTGTCTCTGACTCTGACTCAGGGTATTTGGGTATTTATGGATTCCTTTCTTAAGCTGCTGCTGCTTAAGGTACGTAGGGGATCCATGCAGAGATCCTGGGCAGAATCTATTGCCAACAAACTTCTCCATGCCCTGGGAATAAATGATTCCATTATTTTCCCCCCTCAGGTTACAGCCTTATTTTATCCCAAGGTGAGAAGCTGTCCCAGAATAGGTCCCAGGATGTGAAGGGCTTTACAAGCCCAATTGTAGGGAATGGCAGTGGTACATTGGCTTTGGAGTCAGGAAAACCAGAGCCCATTCCCTTTGGGTCTCTTGTACCTAAGTGTCCTGGTGAGCAAACTTACCTAAGCTTATATGTCCTCTTCTATAAAATATGTTTACATAGAATTCACACCTTCCCTGACCACTGTGAAGATCAAATAGTGTCATGTATGTGATTGGCTCGTGATCTTTGCTGCAAAATAAAGTCACATCTAAAAATACAGATGCCTGGGCAGTCTCTCTTTGAAAAGAGGTTTTTACTTTTAGCTGCATATTGGAATCACTTCAGAAATTTTTAAAAGCTGCAATGCCTAGGCTTCATCTCACACCAATTAAATCAGAATCTCCGAGGGTAAAACCCAAGGTAAGCAGATTTTACAAAGTCTCCCAGGTGATTCCAATGGGTACCCCAAACTGAGAACCACTGGACAATATCCAATATGAAAATTAGTGTGAATGAGTAAGTGCCAAACACGTGTAAGTTATCATCATCAGTATCAACTTGAACATTAAATATGATGATGGTGACGTTGAATAATTGGAAGGGGCTTTCCAACACAATCCAGAGGCCTTCACAGAATAATTATGAAGTTTAATGAAGTAAGTATGAGGAGTTAAGGAGGTCTTCAAGGGTTGGGTTATTAACAAATGTTAGTACGTCATTGTGGGGAAAGAATGTTTCTTGGTCTTTGAGGGGCACACAACTCACCACAGTCCTTTTCAATGCAGACTCGGATTCAGTCGTTCTAGGAAGAAGCCTGAGACTCTGAATTTCCAACACACTCCTAAGCAATTCCCTGGCTATGGGTCTGAGGGCTAGAAGCAAAGGCTTTGGGCACAGCCTGAATTCCAGCCTTGGCCTTCCATTCTGAGTTGTGTGACACAGGGTAGTAGTCATTCTCTACTCTTTTGGCCATTAGTAAACCTCCCCTCCCAGTTCCTGCTTGGAAATCAGGTCTTCCCTCACTGTGATGCTATGATTTTAATGAGTACTGCCAGGTTCTGATGGCCCCTGCTCTTCCTGGGTTGGCTGGATCATGATTGTCCCAACAATGGGCCAAACTAATTTAATAAGATACTTCCCAGTTTGGCTGGACTGGGGACCAAGAGTGTCAGTCAGTCCCCAGTCTCTGTTGGTGACAAAGCTATGTGAGGCATGGGCTCACTACCCTCTGAGGGGACTGGTGTACAGATGAGACTTTCTGAGATGGAGAAGCATTTGAGTCTCTGTTCCCAGGATTTTCCAATAAGGAGCTGCTTTGTTTTCCTGTTCTTCCTGTATTGCCTGAGCCACCCCCAGGATTCTCCTTTCTGCTTCCGTCAGTTTGAGTTGAACTTCTTTCAGTGTAGTAAAAAAGACCTCTGACCAATCGCCTGGTCATTCTGTGCTTTAGCCGACTCATCTCTAAGATGGGGCAGGCAGCGAGGTGCAAACCATAGGTTGCGACGGTGGTTAAACAGGGCCACACGTGTAAGGCACTTAAGGCAGAGCCCAACCTTAGGGAAGTGTTCCAGTTGGGAAGCTCCAGGGTGGGCAGAAGACTGCATCTACTGCAGACCACGAGCTGATACCCTGGGACTCGTCCATCATAAAGGGAGTGGATTCCTGGTTCAAATTTTGGTCAGTCATCCAGGTGTGGTGGCACATGCCTGTAATCCCAGTGACTTAGGAGGCTGAGGCAGGAGGATCCCAAGTTCAAAGCCAGCCTCAGCAAAAGCAAAGCACTAAGCAACTCATTGAGACACTGTCTCTAGATTAAAATACAAAATAGGGCTGGGATGTGGCTCAGTGGTGGAGTGTTCCTGAATTCAATCCCCAGTATGCACCCCCCAAAAAAAAAATTTGGGTCAGCTAGACCTCTCCAAGTCCATCCAATGCTGGATGTATGTCTTCAGTCTAGCCAACAAAAAATGACTCCCCCATAAATAGCACAGACTCCCCTACACCATAAACCCAAGATCAGCTTGGTCAAGTTCATGCCCAGACTTAGCTGTTCATTAGGGACTATGGTTTGAATGTGTTTCCCCAAAATTCATGTGTTAGAAACTTATTTCTCTGGGCAGCAGTATTGGGAGGTGGGGCCTAACGGGAGGTGTTTAGGTCATGAGGGCTCCACCCATAGGTATGGGTTACTTTTCAAGGGAATGATTGTTACAAAATTGAACACTTCCAAATGTACTCACTTGTCTGTTCACATTTCCATCATGAGATCATGCTGTGTGAGAGCCATCTTCAGATGCTGATACCATGTCCTTGGACTTCCCAGCCCCCAGAATCATAACCCAGATAAAACTCTTTTCTTTATAAGTTACCCTAGTCTGTGGTATTCAGTTACAACAGCAAATGACTAAGATACTGGGGTCATCCCCTAAGGTTGAGAGATGTATTGGGAGATAGGTATTCCCTTGGCTTTTCTTGGATTTCACTTGGTCTATGTCCAGCTTCTAGAAACTACACATGCTGGATCTTCCCACCTTTAGAATTCCTTAAAAGTCCCCAATCCTACAAATGCCCCATTTCAACAGTTTCCTACGGATATCATTATATATTCAATACCATGTAGCACATTAGAGGTGCTCACACAGTAGAGCCTGGCATTGCTTAGAGTGGATTTTGCTTATTTCAACTCAACACATATTGACGGAGCTCTTGGTGTGTGCAAATTCAGTGCCAGGCATGCTGTCCCTCACTGCCTCTCCAGCAGCCCCAGGGGATGAGGCTCATGAAATTAAAAACACACTCAGCTGCGGAGGAGGACTAACGTTTGAAAGGCATCAGGAGTTACTAGCAGAGTGCCGGATGCCCACCGCAATACAGAAAAGAAAAGGGTGGGAGGCCTCCAGAGATTCGCCACCCAGAGAGAGAACCACTGCGCTCATGATAGGAGCGTCCGCAGTACCTATTACCAGAGCTGTGGGCTCGTGGTTGGAGCTGGAAATGACAGCTTTCAGAGAATCACAGTAGTTCAGCTAAAAGAAAAAAAATAAGTGAGAAAACACTAATTAATACAAAGATCACGCACCAGGTCAAGGAAGAGTTTCTAATAATGTTTAAAGCATTCTTCCCAAACATATTTCATGAAGGAACCACTGTGTGGAGGATAGGAAAGAAAAATTCAAGCGCCCATGTGTATTCCTGGGGTGAGTAGTGCAGTGTGTACCGTGGTCTCTTCCCTCCAAACCGCTCGAGGCTAACACCAGAACAAGCAATTCCTGGGCACCCTGTCTGCTGCAGCTTCTATCGCCTATTTTAGACTTTTCCGAGAAAAGCTGAATGCTGCCTGCAGAGCTACAGGGGGTTTTACAGAGAAAACAATTTATGTTTCCCTAGAAATCATCTTTAAATTGGAAGCAATACTGAATAGATCCTGGGAGGCGTAGGCTCTTCCCCTGTCTTTGAGAACTGAGAATGGGGTCCTGAGATAGGTGTGTGGGAATTGGGTAGCCAGGGTTTGGGGGCAGGACCCTGATGGACAGCCAAGGTCAATCTTAGGTAGAAGGAATGAGATTTGGAGGGATTTGAGTTCTCCTCTCAGGCCACCTTCTCCGGCAGAAGTCCTGATTCAGAATCTGAACACACAGAGTGGATACAGTCACACTAGTATTAGGAGCGTGGTGTGAACTCTGTGTCCCCAACCCAGACCTCCACAAGAGGTCAAGGTCAACAAGAAGCGTGGCTCCGTTAAGCTACATGGAGGAAGCCAGGCATCAGGGCCAGGCTTTGTATGATGCCATTTTTGTGAGCTGGGCTTCCAAAGGCAAACCAATGGGGACAGAAAGTCGATTGGTGGAGGCCTGCAGCTGGGCGTGGGAATGGGCTGGAGGGATGTCACCCAGTGGCCGAAACATTCTAAAACCGGATCCTGGTGATCACTTTACAACTCAGTAAAGTTACTCTCAATAAGTCGTACATGTAGGATGAACTTATGATGTATAAATTGTAACCAATAAAGGAGAAGGAAATAAAAAGAATCTTATTTCAACCGCTTTTGAGAAACACATCGTAGTATTACATTTGCTTATTTGGTCAAATCATTGTTTTCTTTCTGCTTTTAGCTTTCTTAACTCTCGTTTCTGTTCTGCAGCAGGATTGGTATTTGGTCTTCTCCAATTTGTGTTTGAAACTTTGTTGGTATTTGTCTTTTGAACAAATGTTGTTTCGTGGTCCAAGTTTCCTTCCCCTCTAATTTTCCTTTTCACATTCACACCCGTTTGGTGGTGCCCCTCACTATCACTCAGTAGGATTTCTTACTGTTCTTTCTCACATAAGTCTTCTCAATTCGGAAGCTTCTCTACCTGCTTGAAGCCTGGTGTTTTCTGAAGGAGGAAACAGCTGCTGACACAAGCTTGGTTCCTGCCTCCAATGGCCTCGTCATATGACCCTGAAGACTCCTGCTCCCCCGCCTGTCCCTTGGGCTGGTGTGTCCACTCTGCCATTTGGTCTCTGGGCTCTCTTAACATAAACGACAATGCCTTGCTTCGTTACACACTGATAAACCCCAGTTCAGCTCCTCAGAGGAAGGTTCAGGGACTCAATGCCATGTCCATAATCCACTAACGGTCCTAAGACACTCTGGTCACTTGAGTTGGCTTTTACTCCAACAAGAGGGAGGACAACCCATGCACTATCTTCTGACCCAAAGGATACCTGGGACAAGGTCCCCCAAACTGATCCCACCAGGAAGTTCAAACTGATTAATTCCACTAGAAACCAAGTGCTTGTCATTCTTGGGACTAATCTACACATTTCGTGTAACTGCTGTTTTTGTTTTCAGCTGGGTTTCTGAAGTTGTCTCAGGACCAGTGATGACTTATGATAAAACGTGACCCTGTTTGGCGATTGGAGTGACGCACCTGCAGAGGGAGAGGGCAGGCCAGCAAACCCTAGTTTGTTCATTTATTTATCTTACCTGAGTAACCCAGTCTCCATGTACTTTCCAGCGGATGTAGTTTACGTGTGGAGAGGTTATTACATTCTGAATGGGGATGTTTGGCATGTTCTCAACTTTGGGCATCTTCTTCCAAGTTCTAAGGAGAAAAACATTAAACCATCAAAAGGAGGAGAACGGCCGACCCTCCCACGACCTGCTCTTCCAACCAGGAGCCTTTTCTTGGGTTACATTGGGGTCAGGCATCCCCCACTCCCTCATCTCTTCACTCATATCCACCTGTCCCTTCTCCAGAGCCTCCCTACCTCGTCCGTGGGGAGCCCTCTGAATAGGCCAGACCATTTGAGTTCTCCCTTTCCTGGATTCCCGAAAAGTTGAGGGTGTGATCATCACAGTTGGTGTGTGCTGCTTTTATTTACTTATTTGTTTTCCTGAGACGTGTACATCTGAAGGCATCCGTGCTTCTCTTAAAGCCCCACGAGTGTCCCAGAAGGGAGCCAGGACTCAGAAACTCCTGGCCGAGCCCGAACAATTAGACAGAAAGAAGAAATTAAAGGACTATGAATAGGAAAAGAAGAGCTCAAATGATGCCTATTTGCCAATAACTTGACTCTATATTTAGAAGAATCAAAAAAAAACTCCACCAGAAAATTTCTAGAACTCATAAATTAATTCAGCCAAATAGCAGGATATAAAATTAACATCCATAAAACAGTTGCCTTCCTGTACAACAGTGATCAATCAACTGAAAGAGAAATTAGGAAAAGCATTCCATTCACAATAGCCTCGAAGACAATAAATTATGGGATTCAATCTAACCAAAGAGGTGAAAGACCTCTACCATGAAAAATACAGAGAACTCAAGAAAGAAACTGAAGAAGACTTTAGAAGATGGGAAGATCTCCCATGTTTTTGGATAGGCAGAATTAATATCGTCAAAATGGCTGTACTACCAAAAGTACTATACCAATTTAATGCAATTCCTATTAAGTTTCTGATGAGATTCTTCATAAAAATAGAAAAAGCCAGCATGAAATTCATTTGGAAAAATAAGAAACCCAGAATAGCCAAAACAATCCTCAGCAAGAAAAGTGAAGCAGGAGGCATCACGATAATACCAGACCTTAAATTATACCACACACAAAGCTACAGTAACAAAAAGGCATAGCATTGGCACCAAACAGACATGAAGGCCAATGGTACACAATAGAAGACACAGAGACAAACCCACATAAATTCATTTACCTCCTACTAGACAAAGGTGCTATAAACATACAATGGAGAAAAGATAGCCTCTTCCACAAATGGAAATCTGGAAATCCATTGAAATCAGACCCCTATCTCTGACCGTGCAAAAAATTCAACTCAAAGTGGATCAAGAACTTAGGCATTAGACCAGAGACCCTGTGCCTAACAGAAGAAAAAATAAGCCCAAATCTCCATCGTTATCAGCCAAGGAACCAAATTCCTCAAAAAGACTCCTAAAGCACAAAAAGTAAAATCAAGACTCAATAAATGGGATGACATCAAACTAGCGAACTTCTTCACAGCAAATGAAACAATCAAGAACATGAAGAGAGAGCCTACAGAATGGGAGAAAATCTTTACCATATGCACCTCAGATACAGTATTAATCTCTAGGATATATAAAGAACTCAAAAATCTTAACACCAAAAACCAAATAGCCCAATCAATAAATGAGCAAAGAAACTGAACAGACACTTCACACAAGAAGAAAAATGATCAGTCCACAAATATAAGAAAACATGTTCAACATCTCTAGCAATTAGAGAAATGCAAATTAAAATTACACTGAGATTCTATCTCACTCTAGTCTGAATGGCAATTTTCAAGAATACAAGTAACAATAAATGTTGGCGAGGATGTAGGGGGAAAAAGTTACACTTATACATTGCTAGGGGGACTGAAAATTCATGCAACCACTCTGGAAATCAGTATGGAGATTGTCAGAAAACTTGGAATGGAACTATCATTTGACTGAGTTATCCCACTCCTTGACATATTCCAAAGGACTTAAAATCAGAGTACTATAGTTATGCGGCCACATCAATGTTCATAGCAGTTCAATTTACAATAGCTGAGCTATGGAACCAACTTTGGTGCCCTTCAACAGATGAATGGAGAAAGAAAATGTGGCATAATACACAGTGGAATGTTACTCAGCCATAAAGAAGAATGAAATTATGGCATTTGCTGGTAAATGGATGGAACTGGAGACTATCTTGCTAAATGCAATAAGCCAATCCCCAAAAACCAAAGGCTGGATGTTCTCTATGATATCTGGATGCTGACTCACAAAAAGTGGGGGTGGGGGATGGAAGAATAGAAGTTCACTGGATTAGACAAAGGGGAATGAAGGGGAGGGAGGGGGATGGGAAGGGGAAACACAGTAGACTGGATCCGACATAACTTTCCTATGTTCTTTCATGAATACATGGCCAGTGTAACCCCACATCATGTACAACCACAAAAATGGGAAGTTATACTCCACGTATGTATAATATGTCAACATGCATTCTACTGTCGCGTATACCTAAAAAGAACAAACAAAAAATTACGGCCTGGGCGAGACTGCTAGGACTACCCTGTGTGTTCCAGTTGGAACTAGAATAGTCTTTAAAAGAAGATATTGGGTTTTTTAATTCAGCCTCACAAATAAGGGGACCTTGCTCCTAGCCATCATCCTTGAAGTCAGATGGGGGCATCCGTGACCTTCTGTGTTATAAAGGCTCTTGAATTACGGGGTCATTCACACAGTGCTCTGGGCTCGGCTGTCCTTCCCACGGCTGAGACAGTAACAGAGCAGTTGGCACCACTGGGGAGATGGCACATGGAGACACAGTGGTTGTGTCCCCAAGGTCATTCTCCCCTCTTCCCCCCAGCAAAGCCCAGTGCCTAGGGTCTGCCTGTGGTTTGTCCCCGAGGGGGCAGCGTTGGGAGCTTGGTCCCCAGTGTGGCCGTAGCAAGGTAGTGGAGCCTCTAAGAGGGGGTTGGGTGGGAGTCCCTGGGGTTGTCCTCCTCAGGAGAAATGAAAGCAGTTCTTCCAGGACTTTGGTTGGTTCTCACCATGTTTTAAAAGAACAAGTCTGACCCCTTCTCCTTCTCTCGGGTGTCTGTCTGGCCACATGATCCCTCTTCTCACAAGCCTGCCTGCCATGACACCACCCTCCACCAGGTGGGGCAGCCGAGTAGGGGCCTTGCCAGGGCTGGTGCTATGCTGTGTGGACTTACAGCCCCCAGTCTATGAGTTAAATAGACCTCCTTTATTTTTTTTTATTTTTTTATTGGTTGTTCACAACATTACAAAGCTTTTGACATATCATATTTCATACATTAGATTGAAGTGGGTTATGAACTCCCAATTTTACCCCAAATGCAGATTGCAGAATCACATCGGTTATACATCCACAGTTTTACATAATGCCCAATTAGTAATTGTTGTATTCTGCTACCTTTCCTATCCCCTACTATCCCCCCTCCCCTCCCCTCCCTTCTTCTCTCTCTACCCCATCTACTGTAATTCATTACTCTCCTTGTTTATTTTCCCATTCCCCTCACAACCTCTTATATGTAATTTTGTATAGCAATGAGGGTCTCCCTTCATTTCCATGCAATTTCCCTTTTCTCTCCCTTTCCCTCCCATCTCATGACTCTGTTAAATGTTAGTCTTTTCTTCCTGCTCTTCCTCCTTGCTCTGTTCATGGTTGCTCTCATTATATCAAAGAAGACATTTGGTATTTGTTTTTTAGGGATTGACTAGCTTCACTAAGCATAATCTGCTCTAGTGCCATCCATTTCCCTGCAAATTCTATGATTTTGTCATTTTTTATTGCTGCATAGTACTCCATTGTGTAAAGATGCCACATTTTTTTTATCCATTCATCTATTGAAGGGCATCTGGGTTGGTTCCACAGAATAGACCTCCTTTATTTACATATTATCCAGCTTCAGGTATTTGGGGATTGCAATGAAAATGGACTAGATGTGTACCAGTTCTGGCCAATGAGATAAAGTGAGATCAGCAGAGGAGCCTGGAGAAAATTTTTTGCTCCCTAGGAAAATGTAAAAGTAGTATGAAACAGCCTCCCTCCCTCCCCCCCACTCCCTCCCTCCCCATCTCCTTCTCTCCCTCTTTCCCCTGCCCCTTTCTGTCTTTGTTTTCCCTCTCCTCTGGATGGCCCTCTTCTTCTTGATTTCCAACACAGTTGAGATACCTTTTTGATATCATGAGGCCATGGATTGAAGGACAAAAAGCCCACATGTTAAGGACGGTGAAGTGACAGGAGGGAGACTGGAGGTTCTTCTCAACACCATTAACAATTAAACCAATGCCGGGAACCACCCGAATGTCTACTTTTGTGTGTGTGATGCTAGGGATGGAAACCAGGGTTCAGTGAGTGCTTTGCTACTGAGCTAAAGCCTCAGCCATTGACATTTTTTTTTTTATTGTTTTGGGGTGGGATCTCATTATGTCACCCAGGCTGTCCTGGAACTCTTGGGCTCCAGCACTTGTGCTTCAGTCTCCCTCGTGACTGGGACGACAGACGTGAACCACTGCACCTGATATTTTGTCAAAGAAAGATATAGACCATGGTATTCTCTTAGTCATTTTTTTTTTCTGTTTTGGTGACAGCAAACATTGATTAAGTTCTCGCTATGTGTGAAGTACTGTTCCAAGCGCTCTGTACCTAGCAACCCATTTACTCCTCCACGTGACCCTGTGGATGGGCACTATAGTTATTCTCTTTTTAAGGATGAGGGAATGGAGGCACAGAAAGATAAATAACTTGCCAAAGTTATCAAGTAGGGGGGTCGGGGTTCAAACCCAGGCATCCTGGATTGTGGCACGAGCCATTCTCAATGGAGAGACCAACTGTCCACAACAGTGCATCATTGATGCTCTCGTGCTTCCAAAAATCATACCATTGTGACTTCAATTAAATCTTAAGAGTAGGTGTAATCTGGAATGGTGACCCATGCCGCACGGAAGCCTGCAGGCAAGATGTTTCTATTTATACTTCCAGCAACCATGCAAGTGTACTGGATTCCCCAAAGCAGCCCCAACATCAGATCTTTCCCTCATGAAGATTCAGTAGCCCTTATCAGAAAAGCATAGAG